GCGCTGACCCAGTGTCAGCCAAATGATGGGTATGTGCCCCTGATGTGGTCCAGAAGACCCCCTAACTGGGATTCTGATGGGGTAGTGGGGAGGGGGTACAGAAAGCAGACTGGCTGCAGGGATCTCCAGGGAAAGACTGCCCTCAATCTCCACTGCCTGGACACTAGGGATGCCAACCCCAGCCATCCTGCCTCCTCTCCTGGCCCTCGCACTCTCCATCACTCCAGGCTTTCCCACATCCCTAAGCCAATCACCACCCTACTCTCCCATGCTCAGGCTTCAGGAAAGAGTTGCAGCAGCTCCCCCCTTCATCCCTGCGCCTCCTATTGTTAGGGGGAAAGGAAGTCCCGAGCTAACTCCATACAGGCTTTGTGGACTCCACCCCGACTCCTTCAAGACACTGGAAACTACAAATCCCATGATCACCAAAGGGAAGGTTGTGAGGACCTGAGGACAGAGTTAAGCAACTATGTTCTCTGTTTGAGTATTTAACCGACAATGTGGCCGGGGGTCGCTCTCTTGGCCACATGGTGTGCTTGGTTTTTTGCCAGCTTGGCAGGTCATTGGGATTCCAGGTCAGCGGAATGGGTAGGACGCATTTATGAACTTATTTCCCTCTTTTTTTTTTTTTTTAAGATTTATTTATTTATGCTTGACAGAACTGGGGTACAGGCCAGAGGTCTTGGGGGGGGGCGGGTGAGAGGATTCACCAGAGACGCTGTGGGGAGCAGAACAGGCAGACTGACTGAAATACACTGCTGAGGGGAGCAGTGGGTGAGTCAGGAGAGGTCTGCTGCGCCATGTGGGTTGCTCCCTGGCTGGCCGGGATCGAACTTGTGCTGCAGAGGCTGTGGATAGCTTCATAGGTTGTGTCTTAACCCCTTGTGCCACCAGGGAGACCCTTATCTCCCTCTTTTTCTCCCCAAGTTTTTCATTTCCTCATTTCCCCTTCCCTTGTAAATAAACCTTTTATCAACCTTTTCTGTGTGTCTGCAGTTTAGCATTAATAAGTCCCCTTTAAGCATGCAAGTGAGGACCCATGGTCAGGTAACCGGTTTTATATCAGGGTTGCTCTGTAACACTATAACAGTGTAATCTAAAAAAGGGAGGTTCCATGTTCCCTGCCCCACCTATTGAAGGGTGGAGCTGAGCAGAGAGGGGAAGCTAAGGACTTGCAGAGAAGACTTGGAGGAGGTATGTGGAGCAGAAACAAGTGAAGAAGTCCACATGCTTCTTGGCCTTGCACCAGGCACTTGGGGGACATAGGAGACACTTGGAAGAGATGTGAGAGACCCATGGGGAGGCAGCCTTTACCTAGACATGTACTTTGATTTTGCTTCTTTCCTTCCAGACTTACCTGGCTCCTCCTGCCCCTTTCCTGTGGCTCCCCACCAGTAGGTGCCTTAGATTTGTGGCAAGCTTTTGGGCTTTAGTGGCCCCACTTTGGGCCAAGCCTGTTTCAGTGGGCATTGTTTTTTTTTTTTAATTTATTTATTTATGCATACAAGAACTGACGTACAGGCCAGAGGTGCAGGGCAGGGGGCTGAAAGGATTCACCAGAGACAGAGTGGGGAACAGAACAGGCAGACTGACTGAGATACACTGCTGAGGGGAGCAGCGGGCTAGTCAGGAGAGGTCTACTACACCATGTGGGTTGCTCCCTGGCCGGCCAGGGGATTGAACTCTCAAACTTGTGCTGCAGAGGCTGCAGATAGTTTCATAGTACTGTGCTTATCCCCTTGTGCCACCAGGGAGGTCCTTGGTGGGCATTTATGCACGAGGAGATGGGTAACTTTGGGTGTTTCATTGGGGAACTATTATCCTTTTTTCTGTGTGCTATGCACTCTAATGCTATTAAAGTTCTTTTCTAATAAAGGTCTTTTTTTTTTTAAATATTTATTTTGTAGAACAAGGTTATAGGCCAGAGGTGTAGGGGGTGAGAGAATTTACCAGAGACAGAGTGGGGAGCAGAACAAGCGGATTGAATGAAATACACTGCTGAGGGGAGCAGCAGCGGGCAAGACAGGAGAGGTCTGCTGCACCATGTGGGTCACTTCCCTGACCGGGGATTGAACTCATGCTGTAGTGGCTGGTCACCACCCGATAGGGCTGTGTCCTTAACTCCTACACCACCAGGGAGGCCCCCTTCTACTAAAAGTCTTAGAGTACACACTAAGAATATGCATTGTCTTTATGTGGCAGATGGCAGAACCCATTTGGGGGTCCTGGGTTGCAACTCACTCTGCCCACTAACACTTCTGCCCTTAAGTCAAAGTATGGAGGGGAAAGGGACTCAGATGAGCTTCCCAGACTTTATTCACTCAAAGGCCAAATCCCTCATTTTGAAAGGGGGCCCCACAGCACGACTGTGGGACAAGACTGGCTGTGGCCCAGAGCCACTGGCTGTGGCTGGTGTTTCCCACACCACTGGCTATGGTGCTGAGTTTCCCCGCCTGCCCACCCACCAGAAGCTGCCGCCTGTGATCAGCAGCCCCCACACTGCCCCCCACCCCAGGCACAAGCCAGGTTGGAACATGAAGCATGAAGGGGAGTTTCCCGTTGGCTGCCCAGAGCGCTAACTCTGCCATTTTGCAGCCTCCAGGATGGCTACACAGCAGCCCTCCCTCACCCCCAATATTTTGGCCTTTTTATACTTGGCACCTAGATGGCAGAATGGGCCAATGAGATGAAAACAAAATGTACCAATAGTGTTCATCAGTTCATCATTCGGTGCCAGACTGGCTGATAGGTCCTAAAATGGGCCAATCGGTCAGTTAGAATTGAAAACAGGCAGGTATCAACTAGGGTGGGGAAACCAGAAAGAGGATACAGAGCAGGGTAGGAGCCAGTTTGGGACTCCCACTCTGTTCTTCCTGCACCTGTCTCTGGGCCTGTTGCTGACACCACCTGAAAAGAGCACAAAAGTCTCCAGGCCTGGTGTCTGAAAGAGCTGTTTGTTATTGGTGTGGGCCAACAACTCACAAAGAGCTGTAATGCTGGTATTGCTAACACTGCCTCTTGTGATCGGGTGACCAGCACTACGTCAATGCTGCCCAATACTGCTGGTGGCCGGCACTCTGTGTCCAGGTTACTTTTGAGAGCTGTTAACGTGGTGTATCTAATCGTCCAGCACCTCCTCCTAGTGCTGCTGCCTCCGTTGCTGTCTGGTCCAACACCCAGTGCTGTCCATCTTGACCTTCTGTGGTGTCAGCTCAGCAATCCCACCTGTGAGCACCTCCAGCTGCGGTGAGTTGCATCCTGGCCCAATGCTTGCCGGTGTGCCATGAGCTCCAGGTCCTCACTGCCTGGACGGTTCCATCTTGAAAGAGTGACCTTTTGTTTGGGATTTCTGGGCACTGTGGACACAATCTGGGGTGAGACAGCCCACCTCTTGTGGCCTTAGAAACTCTTTGTTTCCACTGTTTGTTAAATAAACACCACTGTTTTCCCTGAGCCTGAGTGGTCTTGCAATTGTGTGCATGGTTGAGAACCCACAAACTGACTTGTCCTCTACCTGCCCACTGTACTATTGACCTGCTATAGCATCCCTACAGCTCTGTCTCAATTTCACTAGTTTAATAATTTTCATGAAACCAACTCACTTTGAAACATGTATTAAATATATTTGGGAAAAAAATTAAACCCTTTGTATCACAATTCAAATGCAATACCATTATCACATTGAAGAGGCCTGTGAAAACACAGGAACACAAGACAAGACAGTTTTCCCCCGAAGGCTGTGACAACACCTTCTCAGTAAGTTCACTAGAGAACAGTATCCCCAGTCAGTGTTGGAATCAGGTCTGCAGGAAAACTGAGGCCAGTCACTGAGTCGAGCTCCAGGATCAAGTCCAGCTGATCTGATCTTCTCCTTATAAGCACCTTGGCAGGACAAATAGCCAAGCCCACAGGGTCAGGCTTTCACCCTGCCTCAGGTGCAGCCCTGGCTGGAAGAGGAAGACAAATCCCCAGCGACTCTGTGTGGACCCACCACCAAGAGGCCGCTCCCACCACACCCCAGGGGCAGGGGGCTTCCTGCAGCCAGTGCGGCCAACCAGGACTCGGCAACGGTGTCAGGGCAAGCAGGGCAGCGGGCGCTCCTCAAATGCCTTCCCTGAGGCAGTGCTGGTCGAATTCCTTTATTTGCACCCTTCCTGCTTACACCGAGGACTGGGGGAAGCCTGCAGTTAGTACGAGAATGAAGGGGTGCGTGCCCTGAAGGGAGAGGAAGCGCTGGCCGAGGAGCGCCCTGCTCCGCATCGCGTCACAGTCACTCGTGCGGAAACCAGAGGCCCGGCCTTGCCCCCAGGCTGGTCACTGTGCTCAACAGGACTCTCTTCCTTACGAAAACGACCGCAGTTCCAATTCTGTGGAGCAGGAGCGCCTCCCTCGCCCCTCGCAGGCCCTAACCCCGCAGAGTAGAGAAAGTTCCTGGGAGGATCCGTGGCGGCAGCGGCCTCTCGGGCGCAGGCTCCCCCCACCGCTCCGTCCTCAGGCGGGCAACACCAAGTCCTGTCCCGCCGCCCGGACGCCCCTCAGACCTGGGGCGGGCACCTGCGGGTGTCTGAGTAAATGTGAGTAGGGTTCGGACCCGGACCGGGGCTTTATGAAGGAGACGTTACTGGAGAAGGGTTGGGGGCCCGAGGGCTGCCTCCCCCACAGCCGGTCCGCACTCGCCCAGGCGCCAGCCTTGACCTACCTGAGGCTGAAGCCAGGCGGCCGGAAGTCGGGGGCGCACGAGCGCAGCCCGAGACTGCGGTCCGGAACCCGGCGGGCGGGGTCCCGGTGCGGGTCCCCCACCCCGCCCCCTCGCGGTGCTGGCGCGGCGGCGGGTGCTGCGGCCCCTTTAAATCCGGGCCGCCCCGCCCTTCGCCGCCGACTCGGCGGCGGCCCCAGATCCTGGCCGGGCCGCGGCTCTCGCCGCCCGCCTAGCCCAGCCCGGCCCGGCCGTGTGGTGGAGCCGAGGCCGCCGGCGCCCCGCGCCCGGGAGCAACCGCAAGCGCGGTGCCCGGCCCGGCCCCCCGCCCCGCCCGCCGCCCGGCCCCGGGCCCCCAGCGCCTCTCCGCTCCGGGGCCGGGGCCCCCGCCGCCTCCTGGTCCCCGAGCCCCGGCCCCGGCCCCCCGGGCCATGCGGCTTCGGCCCCGCCGGCGTCGGCCGCGCACCGGAGGAGATGAGGCTCCGCAATGGCACCTTCCTGACGCTGCTCCTCTTCTGCCTGTGCGCCTTCCTCTCGCTGTCCTGGTACGCGGCGCTCAGCGGCCAGAAAGGTGAGCCCCGCGCCCCGTCCCGCACCTGGGCGCACCTGGGCGCCGGCGGCCCGACCGGGGTCCGGGCAGTGGCCGCGGGAAGCGGCCGGAAGCCGACGCGGGCGCCCCTTCCCCGCCCGGGCGGCGAGGGAGGACGCCCCTCCCATCCTCGCCCCCACTTGTTTGCTGCGAGAATAACGAAATTCTCCACCGGCCTGGGCTGGGCCGGGCCGAGCCCTCGGGACCGGCCTTCACGAGTCCAGTTGTGCCGATCGTAGGGCAGGTCGCTCCCACTGGCAAGTTGGAGACCTCAGAGTTCTCGGAGAGGGACAGAGACAAGGTCACAGAGGTGGCTGTGACCAGGTGGTCCCCCAGGTACCAGCTCCAAGCACCTGGACTGGAACAAGCACGATGTTGCTGAGACAGGTATGAGGCGGCAGCCAGACATCCAGGCAGTAGCACCCACCCCAGCCCATTGTGGGCGCTTTTCCCTGGGGCCTCCTAGCCCTCCTCCATGACATCTGGCCCCAGGACTCCTCCCCAGGGACCTGGGTCCTGGGGAAGCCTTGTTGTGGCTGATGACCTGGAGAGTGGGACACCTCAGAAGCAACAAGCCCAGCCCCTTACTTAAGAGTAAGTGAGTCTATGGTCTCCGTGGGCCACAACCCCCCACCTGAGGTTGGGTCAGGCTGGCCAGCCCATCAGCATAACCTGAGACTGGGGTGGTAGTTGGAACCCCACCACTGGCTGGAGTGTCTCAGTATTGGTTGGCATGGTTAGGTCTGAGTGAGGCCTTCTCAGACCCTTGTCCTCCCAGCCTGCAGCGCAGGGGTGGGGGGTGGGAAGCTGCTTCCTTCCTGCCTCCTGGCCTTCCTGCCAGACGCCTAAGCAGGATCAGGCTGAAGCCAGCTGACCCTCTCTCCCTCCCACCTCCTGCTTTCCAGTTCCCCAGCACTGCACTAACTGAGGCCGAGGGAGAAGCAGGAGTCTTCCTGACCCTTCAAACTCCTACTAGCCTCACCTTGCTCCTGCCTGCCCAACCCAACCCAACCCAGCCTTGCCTACAATGTTCTAAAAAGGGGGAGTCCCAGTTGGCTACTGAGTCAGTGTCCAGAAGTTGTGGATTGGTGGCCTTGGAGTTCCAGGGATCCGTAGGGCTTGGCACCAGGAGGGCACGGCTAGGGCAGAGTTCTCTGTGTCCACAAGTGGGGTGTGTCACCTAGGCGATGGCATCTTATCCTTGAGATTGGCCACGTAGGCCAGTTGTAACAAAGGCCAAGGTGGGGCCATATCTGACAGCCTGACGGCCTGGAGCACATTTTTCTGACTGTGGGTGGACAATGAACCCTTGCATGCCATCGGGCCCCAGTTCCTATATGCGTCCTACAGCAGCCACATGCCTTCAGCCTGAAGTCTGGAGCTGCAACACAGAACCTCCGCAAGAAAAACTTTAGGAGCATGACTGGCCACAGGAAGCCAGAGTCCGAGAGCAGTGGAGTAAGGGAAATAATCATTGGCTCCATCTAGTGCCCACTCTCCCCAATCGGGGCATCCAGAAGGATGGCACCCCAAGGATCTTGAGAACAGGAGAACACCCCAGCCAAAAAAGTGTGGTTTCAGATGCAGGGGTCCTTAAGCCTGTGCATAGAAACCCAGGAGGCTGTGAGGTGTGGTGAGGGGGTGACCTGGGCCTTGCCTGTTGAGAGTTACCATTGTTTCTCATCGCTCAATAGAGCCAAGTTTTTGGAGACCTAAAGAAAAGCCAGAATCTGGGCTATTACATGAACCCCTCTTCAGTGTTACATGTAGACAATTGTGTTAGCTCCTAGGGAAAATTGGACTAAACCAGTCTCAGGCCAGGCTAGACCCTAGCTTCCAGTTTGCAGCAAGTAGGGAGCTCAGGAAAGTGCTGGCCTAGGCACCCATACTTAGAGGAAGGGCAGAGGAACCTGATTCTGCAGAGCAGGGAGTAGAGAAGAAGAGGGCAGCAGGAACAGGTGGCATCCTAGAAGCCAAGGGCCAGGAAAGACTCATAGGCCTTAGCGCGACAGGCCCTAGATTTGAGTTTGGGACCCACTTTCACATCCAGCCTTGACCAAGTTTGTGCCACAGCTCCACTAGTGCTCAGATTGTATGCCTCAGTCAAACACTGCTAAAGGTCTGTCCACATAGCCAAGCACCTGCTAAAGACTGGCCTCCAGGGGGCCAGCCTTGGCCTTACTGACCTCCTAGTGTCCAGGTTATCCCCTTTTCTCTGTCCAGGGCCAGCTCACCCCTTAAGCAGGATTTCTGTAACAATGGACATCCTCCCTGACTCCCGGGAGGGTGGTTGCAAAGCCTAGAGAGGTGGACACTTGCTCCTCTCCATTCCCCTGGCCCCGCCTGCACTTTAACAGCACACCTTCACTGCACCTGCCACCTGCCTGTACCCCTCTGAGCCTTTTTCACATTCATTAGTTACAGGGCACAAGGACTTGGCTCTTGAATCTGTTTCTTCTACCAGGGGGAACCAGGAGGAAGATGTGGTGTGAGGACCTCAGATGTCCTAATTATTCTTCCTTCAGATGGTGGTGGGGGGTGGAGGGAGTAGCAAAGACTCTAATAGTATAGCCACAGCTGAGGAAGTTCCCTGAGGTCAGCTTACACCTGGGACTAGGCCTCCAGCCTGGCTCTTCCCGGTAGGAAGATGTGGGTGGAACGGAAGCCAAGGTCCCCTTAGCCCTAGCTCCCAGAAACTTCTGCCTATTCCCCCAAAGGCCTTTTCCCTTTCCACCACTGAGCTGCCTTCCCATACCACTCATGATTTCATGTCAATCACCGGCCCACGGAAGTGGGCTGCCGGGATGGCCTGGCAGAGCCTCAGCCTAAGGTCCAGACCAAGGGGAGGCAGCCACAGGGCTTGAGTTTCTGGCGTCGGGAGACAAGGACAGAATGGGCCCATGACCAGAGAAGCAAGGGCTGAGAGTCCAACCGGGGGCCTTGCAGTCGGGAAGTTAGGAGCAGGAGAAGGCAGCTGAAGGACAGAGCCTGTGTTGTGCAGGGAGATCACAGAAGGTTGGGTATGAGCAGAAACTCACAAGCCTGTCACCTCCTGGGAAACAAGAAGCCCGCGGCCTGGATGAAGGGAGGCCAGGGTGATTCAGGGCAGCAGTGCCCATTCATACTACCCTGCCTGTGCACCTGGGACATGCTAAGTTGGACAAAGCTTGACCCATTTACAGAACAGAATAGGCCAGGGGGAGGGATGGGGGATTGGGGTGGGAGGGAGGGAGGGAAGGAGGGCTCCTCACCGTCCCCCACTTCAAAGTGGTCCTATTGCAGGATGCTGCCTTGGGTATGGCCAGTGGCACAAGAGCTGTCCCTGCAAGACTTAGAGACTCTGCCAGGTAGGAGGGGGGCCACCTACTTTGTTCAAGTGTCTAGGAGGCTCTGAACTCCTTTCCAGGAATGCTCCTTGCCTCCACTCTCTCCTTCCTGTCAGGAACTGTCCCAGAGGAGGATGCCTACTCAGGCCACTCCTCTCTGGGCTGGGCAGGAGTGTGTTGGTGGATGGCCTGTGTCTTTCAAGGGGTCAGGTATCCAGGGTAACCCAGCCTGGGAACCTAGTGTGGAGCTTCTGCAGATCTAGTAACCTGACTCCTCCACACACCTCCTTCCCAAGCCTGTAGTTGGAAGCAGAAGTGGCCTTGGCCTTTAGCTTCAGGTGGCAGGGTGTGGGACAGGAGCTGGGGTCAGCTGGTCAGTGTGGAGGTCCTAAGGGTCCATTCATTTGTCTCCTCTCCCCCCAACCCCTCATTCCTATGTAGGGATCCCCTTCCCCTGGGATTTAGAATTAGACTGCAGTGCTGGCTGCAGAAGGAGCTATGTCTTGAGGTGCCCAAACCTTTGCCTGGTTGTGACCTTTGGTACACATGACTGTCATGTGTCAAGGGTGACACCATCCCAGGGCATTCAGGGGGCTCTGAACCCCCCAGGGAGAAAAGGACAGAAGAGCTGTTTAAGAGGAGGGGAGTAGTTCTGGAAGACCTCCTAGACTTGTCAAAGCCAGGCCTTACAGGCCACAAGTCTTCCTTAGGCCCATAAGAGCAAAGGGGACCCCACGCAGAAGAGAAGCACCTGTAGGGATGAGAGAAGTACATGTGATCGCATGCAGAAAGCAAAGTTGAGATTAGAAAAGGTCTTGAGGTTATAGCCTAGCGAGCTGCTGGCATGGGCTGCCGGCACCAGCTGCTGGTGGCAGGGATGTACTTGTTTCTTTCTTTCTTTTTTTTTTTTTTTAAAGATTTATTTATTTATTTTTTTATTTTTTATTTATTTATACAAGCACTGGGTACAGTCAGAAGCGCGGGAGGGCGAGAGAATTCACCAGAGCCAGAGCGGGGAGCAGAGCAGGCAGAAGGACCGAAGTACACTGCTGAGGGGAGCAGCGGGCGGCAGGAGAGGTCTGCGCGCCATGTGGGACCCTCCTCTGGTGGCCGGGGAGCAGCCGGGGATCGAACCGGCGTCGCAGAGGCTGCGGGCAGCTTCGCAACCCAGCGCTCAACCGTTGCGCCACCGGGGAGGCCCACTTGTTTCTTTCTTGCGGTTGGTCACTACCAGCTCAGAAGGATCCCTGAGGATCCTTCCCTGCTGTCAAGTAGCCCCACCTCTGTGCTGCTGCTGGCCCAGCCACACCGCTCCTGCCCAGGACGTTCTGACACAGGTCCCCCTGGGTTGGTTGGGCAGATCCTCGGAGGTGGCCCAGACTGAGCATAAATCTCCAGAGGGGCAGGCCTCGGGGCATTCAGAACTGTGTCCCCCCTCTGCTGCTAGCTCACTGAAGGATCCTGTATTAGTTTCTCGGCTTCATTTGCTCATCTGAACATAGGGGGCTGTGACTGCAGCAGCTACCCCGGGGCTGGTGCTGAGTGCTGGACCGTCAGCCAGCGCCAAATGGGCACTTAAGGCTCAGTCCTTAGAAGGTGGGATGTGGAGTCCAGGAAGGTTGTCTGTCTCTAGAGGACGTTGGGGATGGGACACTGTGTGATCTTCTCTGTGAAGGAGTGGGGGGTGGAGGGAAAAGCACAGAGGCTTAGAGGCGAGAAGGAGGAGGGCTGGTGGGCTAGCCAGCTTCATGAGGAAGGGCTTGTCGTTGTGCCCTGGATGGGACTTTGGGTATCCCACCCCCAGAAGGAAAAGATGCTGTAAGGAGAAGCAGAAGGGGGCCTGGGCAGCCACTGGGTGGAGAATTCAGTCTTGAGACTGCACCCCTAATGCCTACAGCTGGGGTCCAGCTGGAGATTCTGACACATTCCCCCTGGAGTGGCCCAGGCCTAACAAAGGTCTCCAGAGAGGCAGGCCTCAGGGCATTTAGAGCTGTGTTCCCTCATCCCTGATTAGTGTTGTCCCTTTTAGGGCTAGAAGTGGTCTTGCTGCCCTCCCCACTTAATATGCCTCCTTGAAGGAGAACACCTCAGTAGGGGGCAAATTCCAGAGAGGGCTAATCCTCCCTGTGGAGGCTTTTCTCCTCTGTCAGTGTGACTTCAGAGTGACCCCTGTAGACTGGCTGTCTCACAGAGGGGCATGCCACGATCTCTGCAGGCGATGTGGTGGACGTGTACCAGCGCGAGTTCCTGGCCCTGCGTGACCGTCTGCATGCAGCTGAGCAGGAGAGCCTCAGGCGCTCCAAGGAGCTCAACCTGGTGCTGGATGAGATCAAAAGGGCCGTGTCGGAGAGGCAGGCGCTGCGAGAAGGCAATCGAACCTGGGGTCGCCTAACTGGTGAGTGCTCTAGCCAGAAGCTGCAGGAGAGGTGAGGCCAGTGTAGGCCACCTTGCGGTCTTACCTGTTTGTTCCCCCCATCCACCCAGAGGACCCAAGACTGAAGCCATGGAACATCTCCCACAAACATGTGCTGCACCTGCCCACGGTCTTCCACCACCTGCCGCACCTCCTGGCCAAGGAAAGCAGCCTACAGCCGGCGGTGCGGGTGGGCCAGGGCCGCACAGGAGGTAGGGGAGGCCAGGACTGCTGGAGGCGGGGTGTTGGGCGGGTGGGGGGGTGCTGGGGTGGTGCCCAGTCTGGACCCTCTTCCCCGCTGCAGTATCAGTGGTGATGGGCATCCCCAGCGTGCGGCGTGAGGTGCACTCCTACCTGACAGACACACTGCACTCGCTCATCTCCGAACTGAGCCCACAGGAGAAGGAGGACTCTGTCATTGTGGTGCTGATTGCAGAGGCGAGTGGCTGAGGCTAGGGGCAAGGGGAGGTGTAAGGCCAGGGGAGTAAATTCCAAGGATACCTGGCTCAAAATAACCAGGAGAAATCAAAACAGGGCACCACTCCAGAGCAAAAAACTATCAGAAATTTGTCAGTTGCATTCACAGAACTATTTAGATAAAAATTTTAAAAGGAAGAAACACTGTAGCACCTCCTCCTAGAGATGCCAGTTACCTAGTGCACACTAACCCACAACCCCAGGCACCCCAAAGCACTTTTTCTGAGGCACCTGTGGCCCCCAGCCCAGCCTGACTTGATCCCCAGCCAAGAGGGCTTACTCCCCAGTGCATGGAGTCTTCTGAGGCCTGCGCCCCTCCTCCCAGTTCCTTCCTGGACCATTTGGGGTGGCAGCCAGGCTTAGGGAGTGTGCTTGTTCTCCCCACAGACTGATGGACAGTACACCTCAGTAGTGACAGAGAACATCAAGGCCCTGTGAGTACTGACAGTCCCTCAAAGCTGGTGGAGGGCAGGCCCTCTGGGTGTGCAGGGTGGCCCTGCCCCTCTGGAAACCCATTGCCCCAGTAGGCTGGATGTGGTTTCTGAAGATGTCTGCCTGATGGTGAAGAAAGGGAGGTGGTCTGGCTGACTCACTCTACCCACCCTTCAGTTGTTGGAGGTCGCAAACCCACTGGACCTTCCTGTCCCTCAGGTTCCCCTCAGAGATCCATTCCGGGCTCCTGGAGGTCATCTCCCCTTCCCCCCACTTCTACCCTGACTTTTCCCGCCTCCGAGAGTCCTTTGGGGACCCCAAGGAGAGAGTCAGGTACCAGCACCACCACCCCTGCCTTGAGCCTTCAGCAAACTGCCACTTGTGCTGAGCACCCCATCTGTTGGTGTCTGGATCTCAGGCACTTCCCTGTGGTGCCTCCATTTCTCCACTGGAGGATCTCTGCATGTATGGGGTGGGGGTGAGGGGACTCTACCTCCTCAGTGGCCTCTGTAGTAGCTACGTGATCGGCGGAGGGGTCTGAGCTCCTGAGGCCCCTGCATCTGCCCACAGGTGGCGGACCAAACAGAACCTCGATTACTGCTTCCTCATGATGTATGCACAGTCCAAAGGCATCTACTATGTTCAGGTCAGCATTGAGAGCCTGCTGGCCGGACGTGGGTGGTGACCTGCGCTGCCCATGTGCCCATGCTGAGCCTACACCCTCTGTTCACCACCATGCAGCTGGAGGATGACATCGTAGCCAAGCCCAACTACCTGAGCACCATGAAGAACTTTGCACTGCAGCAGCCCTCGGAAGACTGGATGATCCTGGAGTTCTCTCAACTAGGCTTCATCGGTGTGCAACCTCCTGCCCACTGAGCTGATCAGAACCCCTCAGTCCAGCCACCTTTGCCCCCAGTGCCTGCAGTAGCCCCCACCTGACCTATTTCCACTGCCTGCCCTCAATACTGGCTGTCTGGGCTCACCGTTCCCATCTGTGCCCTGGACTCACACCTGCCTGCAGCTGGCCACCATGTGTGCTGTTAAACCCTTCCTGGTGGCACCCAGAGGGATTAAATGGGAGAGGGATGATCGGTACTACTCACTCGGTATCCCCTCCCTCCCAACTCCCTTCCCCAGGGAAGATGTTCAAGTCCCTGGACCTGAGCCTGATTGTGGAGTTTATACTCATGTTCTACCGGGACAAGCCCATAGACTGGCTCCTGGACCATATTCTGTGGGTGAAGGTCTGCAACCCTGAAAAGGATGCGGTGAGCAGGACCTGGGGTGGGTGGAGCACACAGCCTGCAGCATGAATCGCATCAGTACCCAGCACGCCTGGCTGACAGGAGGCTTTACCGCTGGTGGGGTTGTCCTGGCCTGGTAGGTGGGGCTCAGCTGAGCTCTCCAACAATACCCCCCCTCGCAGAAGCACTGTGACCGGCAGAAGGCCAACCTGCGGATCCGCTTCAAGCCATCCCTCTTCCAGCACGTGGGCACTCACTCCTCGCTGGCAGGCAAGATCCAGAAACTAAAGGTGGGTTCTGCCACTGGAGAGCCCAGCCAATTGTAGGCAGAACCCAGGCTAGGGTGGGGTAAGGGCATGGCAGGGCAGTCAGCACCCACTCTAGCACCTTTGTCCCTTCCTGGCTGCAGGACAAGGACTTCGGGAAGCAGGCATTGCGGAAGGAGCACGTAAACCCACCAGCTGAGGTGAGCACGAGCCTCAAGACATACCAGCACTTCACCCTGGAGAAAGCCTACCTGCGTGAGGATTTCTTCTGGGCCTTCACACCTGCTGCAGGGGACTTCATCCGCTTCCGCTTCTTCCAGCCACTGCGTCTTGAGCGGTAAGTGCCAGCACCACAGGTCTACCTTGGGGCAGGGCAGGTGGCGACCAGGATACAGGCCTCACCACAAATTTCCCCATCTGCAGATATCCTTTTGTGACCCCCAACAAATCCCTTAGCTTCACCATGTCTCAGTTTCCTTATCTAAAAAGTGGGGTAGCCACCTTCTAAAGACTGAGTCAGGCAGTGCCTGTAAGAGCTCATCACCTCTTCCCTGAGTAAGGCCCTAGTTGCCTTGCAGAACCCAACAGTTGTCCTCAGTGGCATCCAGAACCCTGGGACCTACCTATTGCACTCCTGGCCCAGGCCTAGCCTTTTCTCTGCTGGGCAGTGTGCACAGGCAGTGCCCCACCCCTGCAGCAGCTCACAGGCCTGTTTATCTGCAGGTTCTTCTTCCGCAGTGGGAACATTGAGCACCCTGAGGACAAGCTCTTCAACACATCTGTGGAGGTGCTGCCCTTTGATGTGAGTGTGGCAGGGTGTGGATGTGTAACAAGGCCTTCCCTACCCACAGCCACTGGCTTCAGCCCCTTGATTTTGCTCCCAGAATCCTCAGTCAGACAAGGAAGCCCTGCAGGAGGGCCGAGCAGCTACTCTGCGGTACCCTCGGAGCCCTGATGGCTACCTCCAGATTGGTGAGTGAAGGCGTAGATGGGTGGCTGTGGAAGTAGGGAGGCTGGGTTCAGCAGGGTAACATCTCAGCGCTGTCCTTTCAGGCTCCTTCTACAAGGGTGTGGCAGAAGGCGAGGTGGACCCTGCCTTCGGCCCCCTAGAAGCTCTCCGCCTCTCCATCCAGACAGACTCCCCAGTGTGGGTCATTCTGAGTGAGGTGAGTCGTGCAGGGCAGGGTATGGGGACCAGGAAGCTGTTTCCAGTGGCTAGACCATGCCTGGGCTGACCCTGAACCCCGCTCTTCCAGATCTTCCTGAAAAAGGCGGACTAAGGCGAGGTTTCTGAGGGTGCACTTCTTTGGGCCCTGAAGCCCACAGAGTCCTGAGATGTTGTCGCAGCTGCCCCTGGAGGGCCAGGCTCAGCCGCCCCAGACTGAGGGGTTCTGCCTGGTGCGCCCCCTCAGCCCACCTGGGGTCACCGCTGGCCCGGAGGCCCTAGGAGCTGGTGCTGCCCCCGCCCGCCAGGCCGAGGGAGGAGGCAGGCGGTCCCCACACTGTGCCTGAGGCGGGCCCATGCCGCCCAGAACTGTTCGCACCCGGCTGGCTTGAGCCAGGCCGTTTTAGAAGAGCTTTTTCTTGGGCGCCTGCTGTCCCCGGCGCGAACACTGGAATGCATATACTACTTTATGTGCTGTGTTTTCTATTATTGGATACATTTGATTTTTTCACGTAAGTCCACATATACTTCTATAAGAGTGTGACTTGTAATAAAGGATTGATGAAGTGTGTGCTTCATCTGTCAGTGCTTCCAGCTGTGGCTGGTGCGGGGTGGCCCTAATCCAGGGATGCCACCCTAAACCACCTTGCCTGGCCAAACCACTAAGGTGCGCTCTGCACACGCTCCCAAAAGCTCTGCATAACCTCTGCCCCATTTCCTGTACAGTCCTTAACTGGACACAGCCAGTTGTGGGTCTGAATCTGGTCCAGACCACTCACAATCCCTGAGGACCCTTCCCCAAGTGCAGCTCCTAGTTCCTATCTTCCTACCCCAACTGCCTTTCACATCGATAACATTCCTCTGTCTCCTTGTCCCCCACCATCTCTGCCCTGCCCTTCTCCACAGTCCCCTAGACTTGCTCACTCATCTCCCTCTCTTGCCCCATCCCCGACACATTTTGGGCCCATACCGGGGCATTTGCACATGCTGTTGCCTGGTTTGGAAAGCTCTCTCTGCAGCTGGGCTAAAAATCACCTCTTTAGGGACCCTCTGGCCTGCGGGCAGGCCCTCCCTGGTTCTGGTTCCTCAGGGCATCCTGACATCCTGAGAGCACCGATCCCATCTATACTGACCACACTAGTCCCCGTGACTCCACCACACCAGAGATGTGTCATGGAGATAGAGTGGGGGTGGAGGAGGCAGGCAGAGTAAGAGAGCCCCTCCCAAGGAGGGAGTCCTGCCCAGCTCAAGGTGAAGGGAGGAGAAACGGTCAGGGGCCAGACTGGAAGCCAGGCCTGAGAGGCCAGAACGTACTCCCACCCCGCTTCACCCCGAGCCTACTTCTCTCCGCAGACCCTGAGACCAGGAACCGGATGCTGATAAGTAAAAGGTCCCTGGTATCAGTTGTGAAGACCAGGGAAGAAGGGCTAGGGCTGTTGCGGCCTGCCCGTGGAAGGGCAGGCCTCCGAGGTGGGGCAGGGGAGAGCAGTGACTACAGATACAGCCAAGAGTAGGGAGGGAGTTGGGGTCTGGGGGAGTTGGGGGCAGAGCACGAGACACCGCACGGCTACAGCCCTGTTCCCTCCAAGAGTCCACAGTCCTCAGTGCGAGACCCCTTTCAAGCAGAAAATGCACTCGGGTCCGGTAACGGGCGCTTTAATTAGACCAGGATGCGGGGGCGCACCCCTCCCCCGTCCTCCAGGCGGCCCCGGCTCTTCTCCGGCTCCGCGGACCGACGTCCCCCATCTCAGGCCCAGGGCAGCAGCTTCCCGAGCCGTCGGAGGAGCGCGGCGCGCGCCGCGGGGAGGAAGTGGAGGAGCAGGCCCAGCGCGGCCAGCGCCACGAGCAGCCAGAGCGCGCGCGCGCTCGCGTACAGCGGAGCCAACCTGCGGGCGGCGCTCGACGGGGGCGGGGCGGGGCGGCGGGCACAGGCCCCGCCCCCGCTCGCCCCCGCCTGCCCGCCTCCCTCGCGCCCACCGCATCCGGTCCGGGCGTCCCCCGCCCCCCCCCGCGGCCGGTCGGCCCCACTTCCCTTGGGCCCCGCCGGGTTCTCACCTTTGCTGAGCCGAGCGCGCATAGCCCTGGAAGTAGCGGAGGCGCGCGAATAGGTAGGCGAGGCCGCACAGGGCCGCCGCACCTGGGAGAGGGGCGCGGGGGCGGCGTGAGCTCGCGGGCGCGGGCACCTCGAGGGCTCCAGCGCTCAGCCCCTGCCCCGCGCCCAGACCTTCGTGAAAGAAGATGCCTGCGACCCAGAGCGTGGCGAGGAACAACGGGAAGTACTCGCTGCAGTTGACTCTGCGGTGGGCGCGCGGTGGCGTAAGGTGAGGGTGCCTCGGACCCTGCCCTGCCCGGGGCCGGCTGGCTCCCCGCCCCTGCCCTCCCGCCGCGTCTCACTGGGCTCGGTAGACGCGCTCGAACTCGGGCGGGCCGTTGGTGAGCGGTGGCGACACGCGGAAGGCTCTGCGCGCACAGATCACCTGCCAGGAGAAGTAGGCTGGGGGCGAAGAGGGGCAGGAGTGAGTCCTGGCCTCCCTCTGGCCGACTTCCAGTCCGGCCCCGACCTTTCTCTGTCCCTTCTCCATTGAGCTGGGCAGGACTCCGCTTTAAAGTTCTTGAGGGGGGCCCCACCGCTCTCCCCTCACCCTCCTCCCCACGTCGGGGTCACTTTCGAGCCCAGGCTGGCTCTAGGACGAGCATGGGAGCAGGGCGTGGTTCTGGGGCGCCAGGGGATAATTCACCCAGACTCCTGCGGAGTTCCTGCCTGAAGGAGCAGCTGCTTGTGCAGGACTTTGCCCCTGAATCATTTGACTTGCAAAACACAGGCAAAAGCCTGCCTCCTATCTCTAAACTTGGACCTTTGGCTCTGGGGTCCCTCCCTGGACAGGGAGTGCCGCCAGGACCTAAGTGCAGGGCTGACCACATCCTTGCAGGTGCAGGGGAGCATGCACCCTGAGATTCAGAGTCCCTGGGCCCCCACCTACGGAGCCCACCAGTAGGGACCTCCTGACTCTGCTTCAGACCAGAGTCACCCAAGCCTGTGTCCCTGGGCCTCCAAACCGCACTGTGGGCTCTTGCCTCATTCACCTATTCAAACATTCTGGACCCTGGCCTAAATCTGGAAGACATCTTGACCCCTAACCCAGGTGGTTGCAACTGAGACTCTTCTAGTCCAACCCCAGGCTCCCCAGGCTCTGTACTGTTGGGTATAGAGGAGAGGGTTAGCCCTAGGGGCTTTGAATGTTCAAGGATCTTCTCTTGGCCTCAGGCCTGGTCCCTCCTCACATGCAACCCCAATGCTAGGTGTCTCCAACTATCTTCCTACAAGTCCTGTGGCCCGGGTCCCCTTGGTGCCAGACCCTCCGCAGACATATTCCATCTCAAGCGCACTGGGAGTGTCTAAGCTGGCCGGTGGGTGCGGGACCTGGAGGTGGGCCCAGTGGCTGCATGTTGATATGGGGCTAGAGATCAGTTCAGTCCATATGCTCAGCACCCCCAGGGCTCCTGCCCCAGACTGTGCTGTGTCCTGCCCATACTGTGCCAGGCAACAGTGTCTGGAGCAGCAAGACTATGTAGCCAGGTAATGTATCCTGCCCCTGCTCGCCCCCGCCTGCCTGCCTCCCTCGGGCCCACCCCCATCCGGGCCTAAGAATGGCACCAAAAAGGCATCTTAGGAAGGGTGGGTGGGGCATGGAGTAGGTTCTAGCCCTGGCTGGCTGGTTTCACATGGTCCCAACATACAGAAGGTACCTTTGAAGGCAGGGCAGAGAGATAGGACCTTCCTGTGGGAACATTCAGAGAAAGGACAGCTGAAGAGGGCAGGGATTGGCTGGAGCTCATCAGCATCAGGCCATGGCTACCCACTACTATACTACCCTTTCATCCTGGCAACAGGCTCCCTGCCCATGTCTTACAGCCGAGTACAGCTGGGCTCCCCACCTTCTCCCTGAAAGCTCCTACTCTCTTGCAGGTTTCACTATGCTGGTGGAGGGCTCACCACCCCCACCCCTTGCCAGACATTGGCATTCCCACCTCAGTTGCTCCCCAGAGGCATATCCATTTTGCTGCCCCATCCCTTTGAAAAACACCCTCTTACCCTTTGCCCCTGCCCAGGATTTCACAGTGCCTTCATACATTCCTCAGGGTTTCCCCCTGGGGAAAGTGCTAGCACGCATCTTTGGATGTGGGCCATCCAGAGGGGCATCCCTGCGTCTGCCCCTCATGTGGTCCTGGACAGCAGAAGACAGACTGCGGGGGTCTGAGACCCACCCACCTCCCCAGCAGGAATCAGCCCACCTTGCAGCAGGACTCCCAGGAGGGTGACAGTGGCCAGAAGAGCCACCTCGTCCTTCATGGTGCCTGTCTGGAGCTGTGAGGTCGGGACCGCTGAGAGAGGCTGACTGTGGAGTTCTTATCAACCCAGTCTCCTATTGAGTCTGGCCCAGGAGAAAGAGTGGCTGCTCTCCCCGCCCCTTTCAGGGGAGGGAGGTTGAGCCCAGGGGTGTGACCAAGACCAGAGAGAGTCAGGGAGCTTTGGGCTGGGTGGGCAGGACCCAGAGCAGCTGACTGCTGACAGCCCAGCTACTTCCTCCCAGTCCTTGCCCTTTCTGTGCCTGGCTATGGGCTAGCAAAACCCAGGCTGTCTGCCTGGGCACTCCCAGTTGGATATGTTATGTCAACCCAGTATTCACCAGTCCTTGTACCGCCACAGGTTCCACCCAGCTAGCTTTCTAAATCTCCTCTTATCCTGGGTCTGGTCCCGGGAAACTAGAAGTTCCTACCTGATCCCCCAACTGCCACCACTTCCCATCGACCACCAAGTCCCTGTCATTCTCATATCCACCCTCAGTGCTGCCTTCCAAGCCCTGCTCCACCCTAGTCATCTCTCACCTGGACATGGGTCACAGCTCCTCATGGGTTCCCAGCCCTGACAACCTTCACCTGTCCATGCCCACTTGTCTGTCCAAACTCCCCCCAGTTAGGGCTGTACCTGAATAACATTCATCTCTGACTGCGGAGCAGTCCAGACAACATCCCAAGCTCGATGGGCCATGTGCTTGCTCCCTGTGGGGAACCTGATGTCCACCAACTTCACGGTGTTTCCTCCCAACTACTTGCCTGGGCTCCACGCACATGGTGCATCCCAAAGGTCATCTGGCTTGCCTGCACTCGGGGTGATTGGATCCATCCTCTCAGCCTCTGACTCAGGCCAGTCACTATTTCTGCCTGCCCAGCATCCCTCCTTCCAGAGTTCTAGGACCCTCCCCACACTCAGTTCCTATGATCTGGACAGAGTCCCCCAGACCTCCCAGGCCTGCGGGATGGACAGGTGAGCCAAAACCCACTGTGTGAGCCAAGGCTGACTCAAAGTGATGAGAGACAGTTCCGGAAACTTCCTTAGAACTTTGAGGAAGGGAACTCAACTGGGGAGGAAGATTACTGAGTCTATTAATGGCTACTCCCCAGCCTGAGGAAGAGGGAGCAGACACAGGGCCACATAGGTGGCACTTGTGCTGGGGTCACCATGCCTAGAACACCCCACTAACCATTCAGACATTCTGTTTTGTAGAATGGGCACTTCTCCTTTTGGCTCATGCTGGTTGGAGTTGGGTTTTGGTCAGCACTGGTAGGGTCCAGACTGAACCAGGAGCTGGTGAGACCACAAGCAAGCACAGGCTGTATCATGGGAGGGCCAGAGCAGCTGGGTCTTCAGGACAACTGCTACTGAAGCCCAGTACTGGGCTCTGTGATGTCCTGGTGCCAGCCCCCACCCCCACCAGGACTCTGGGGGATTCCCTGTTAGGGTCATGCGGCCTTGGGAGCTCTGCCCTTGCCACACTCCTGACCTTTCTTCCTGCTCCCAAGTCCAGGTTCCAACCTGAGGGGTTTGTTGCCTCCTGGGCTCCTGAAGACCCCCCTCCTTTCACCTCTCATCACCTGGTCAATGCCCAGTGAATGCTTTTCAGCCTCAGCAACCCCAGGGAACCAACTGCTCCCCAGTTGGGGCTACTGTGAGCCCCTCAAGGGCAGGGGTGGCATCTCCATGTCTGTGCTCTAAATTAGTTTAGGTCTGAGAGTTGTAGGGTAGGTGCTCAGTGGTGAAGAAATCACTGACAAGATGGGAGTACCAGAGCGAAGACGCCCCCACGTTTCCTTGTGCCCTTTCTCTGCCCACTCGGCCCCCTTCTTCCCTGAACCTGTCTAGACAACAGCCCCCTATCCGGACTGACCTTTGGCTCCAGTCCAAATAGCCTGAACGGGGAGGACATATTTTGGGCAGGCTGTGTGTGTGTGTGACTCTCCGGAGTCTGCGTGTGTAACACCTTCAGTCAGCACATAACACACCCAAATGTGCTTCTCAGTGCCCCTGTGCTTTGGGTAATGAGCTCATCCACAGGCTGACCATGTGTCCATGAGCCTCTGTATGTGTCCCTTCTGCTAACTCTCTTTTCCTCCAAGGCCTAGACATTCTCATCGAATGCTCAGCCCTTTTTGTCCTGGCAACAGGAAGCTGAGGACTAACATCAGCAGCTTCTGAGGAAGTCCTTGGGCAGATGTCCAGGCAGGAATCTAGTCTCAGCCTCTGGAGCCCTCCCCAGACCCTTCAGTTGCCCTCCCTCCCTCTGAGCTTCCCCAGCCTCTCAGGCCCCTGTCTGGGTGAGCCTGCTTAGGCTGACACAGGTCCAACCTCAGGCCCACCCACCAACCTCCTATGCAGCCCCAGAGGTGTTAATGTCAGAAGAGAAGTGAAAAAGCCCTTCCCTGAGCCCCTGCAGGATGTGTCCCTGTGATAGACACATGCTACAGCCCCTAAGGAATTCTCTGGAAACTGAGTTCACTAAGAACCTCTGGGAGAAGAAAAGGGAGAACCATTATGTTGAAAAGAAATTATGATGCCTCCCTGGTGGCGCAAGGGGTTAAGCACAGCACTGTGAAGCTATCTGCAGCCTCTGCAGCAGGAGTTTAATCCCCGGCTGGCAATGGAGCTACCCACATGGTGCAGCAGACCTCTCCTGTCCTCAGCAGTGTATTTCAGTCTGCCTGTTCTGATCCCTGCTCTGTCTCTGGTCAATCCTCTCACCTTCCGCACCTCTGGCCTACACTCCAGTTCTTCTATGCATAAATAAGTAAATAAGTCTTAAAAAAAAAAAGAAATTATCACTTCAGTATGATAGAACATCCTAAACAGTGTACAAGTCTAAGCTTAAAATAAACTTTTAAAGATTTATTTTGAAATTATTTTGGACTCAGAAAAAAGGTCAGAAAAGTAGTACACACCTTTCATACATCCTTCACCTAGCTTTCCCTAAGGTCATACAAAGACCTAAAAACATGGCAAGTTGTCCCAGGCACAAGAGACCACATATTGTGTGAGTCCCTTTATCTGAAATGTCCAGAGAAGGCAAATCAGTGGAGACAGAAAACAGATCAGTGGTAGACTGGGGCTGGGAACATGAAGGGCCTTAATGGGTGATAAAAATGTTCAAAACCCATGCTATGGTGATATTTGTTCAACTTGGTAAATTTGCTAAAAATCATTGAGTGGTACATGTGAAAAGGGCAAGTTTATGGCATGCAAACCATCCCACAATAAAGTTGCTTTTAAGCAAATACAAAGTGCTGTGTGCCCTTTCCCCAAATGCCTCAAATGTTAGCATGTTAGATAACAACAGTACAGAGCCTCCCTAGTGGTACAAGGGGTTAAGTGTCAGCACTGTGAAGCTATCCGCAGCCACTGTGGCATGAGTTTGCCCCTGCCAGGGAGCTACCTACATGACGCAGCAGACCTCTCCTGTCTCTCCCACAGTTCTCCTCAGCAGTGTACTTCGGTAGATCTGCCTGACTACTGGGGAGCAAAACCTCTATCTCTGATGAGTCCTCTCTCACACACACCCTGCACCTCTGGCCTGTACCCTAGTTCTTCTACGTAAAAAATAAAATCTTAAAAAAAAAAAAAAAAAACAGTACAGCGATTAAAACCAGGAGAGAACTCTTGATCCAAAACAATGAACGAATCTATAGACCTTATCCAAATTCCAACAATTCCAGTAAGTGTCCATTTTCTGGTTCGAGCTCTGATCCAAGATCATGTGTCCTTAGTCTCCTCTGATGGGGACACCAGTGTTTGCTTCACAATCTCAGCTCCACTGAAGAACACCGGTCAGCTTTTTGGTAAATGGTTCTCAGTTTGGGTCGTCTGATGTTTGCACATTATTAGATGGAAGTTACTCATTTGGGGCAGGAATGCAAGACACAGAAGTGCCCATCCTGTTGTAAGGGATGGACATTTACAGCTTCTGTCACAACCCTAAGCTTTTACACAAGAACAAAAATACCTGTCATGAAGATAGCACTTGTTCTTGACTTTTAACCCACCCTGCCTCATAGATTCAAGGCTCTGACCTCAATCCTCCTTGGGCTGATGCACTTTGGGAACCTGGGCCCTTTTATCCACCCCCAGAACTCCTGAGCACCCTACCCTGGCAGCCCTTGTCCTCTCTGTTTTCCTCTGGGTTTCTAACTCCCCATCCTTCCAGGACTTCTGGGCATAGATAGCCGTCCTCTGCTGATCTCCAGGCCCCATTGGGGTGGGTGCTCAAAGAAACACACCCACATGTGCAAACACAGCTGCCTGGCCGGCATTGTTGTCTTCTCTTCTTCCTCTCCAAAACCACTGATCTTTTTCTGTCTGCATAGTTTCGCCTTTTCCCCGCATGTCATGTAGTTGGGAGTCATACCATGAGCAGCCTTTTCAGATCGACTTCTTTAACTTAGTAATGTGCTTTAGGTTCCTCGGTGTCTTTTGATGACTTGCTAACTTATTCCAGTACTGAATACTATTCCACTGTCTGGATATACTACACTGTTCATCTACTAAAGGATGTTTTGGTTGCTTACAAGTTTTGGCAGTTATGAAAACAGCTGCTGGAAACAATTGTGTGTAGGTTTATGTGTGGATGTAAGTATTCATCTCATTTGGATAAATACCAAGGACTGCAATTGCTAGATTATATGGTAAGAATATGTTTAGTTTTGTAAGGAAGCACCAAACTATCTTCTGAAGTGACTGTGCTGTGTTGCATTCCCCCTAGCAATGAAGGAGAGTTCCTGTTGCTCCATATCCTTGTCAGCACTTGGTGGTGTCAGCATTCTGGCTTTTCAGATATTTCTTTCTTTCTTTGTTTCTTTTAAGATTTTATTATTATTATTTTTTTTATACAAGAGCTGGGGCACAGGCCAGAGGCACGGGAGGGTGAGCGGATACACCAGAAGCAGATGAGGGAGCAGAACAGGCAGACGACAGAAATACACTGCTGAGGGGAGCAGCGGGCAAGACTGGAGAGGTCTGCTGCGCCATGTGGAATTCTCGCTTGCCGGGATCAAACCTGCACTGCAGAGGCTGCGGACTGCCTCTGCTGCGCTACCAGG